GACATACTTGTACGCTTTCTTCGCCACATCCACATACGCACTTTGGCCGCCGCTGTATGGAGCGGTGCCATTCCATGCTGCATCCGTGGATAGAGCCCCCAATCTTACACCTTTGAGCAAAGAGTACACAAACATACTGCTCGCACTACTCTCCAAGTAGTTGCCTGCTTCGCCAGGTCGGTCCATTACATTCCACCACGCCCCAGTCTTTCCGTCTGCGGCTGCCACGATAGCGGGCATGAGTTGTTGGAACCGAGATCCGATGTACTGGCGTGCGTGGCTTGCATTCGCGGGGAGCAATTCGAGCGTATCGATGAGTGCCATACAGTACCATCCCAGACTGCGTCCCCACACGTGCGGGCTGGCGCCTGTAGCGCTGTTGGCCCAGACTGCTGTGAGACTGGCATCGTAACCGTGTACTAGGAGACCGGTTTCTTGCGAGTAGCAGCGCTGCCATAGCAGATCGAGCTGGAAGACCATGTCTTCTAACGTATCTTCAGTTATGGAAGAGCTACCAACACCGTTTGTGTATGCGGCGAGGAACGGAGTCAAACTAAACATGCCATCCAGGTAACTCCAGTACGGGTAGACATAATACCATAACCCGCCTTGGTCATTTCTAGGCTGCAAATCCACACTCTTTCTCAATGCTTCGAATGCTGTTTTGTACTTTTCATCCCCGGTTTCCTGCCATAATCGCAGTAGACCGTTTCCGCTGCTCAGACGGTCCAACGGGTATTTCGTGTCGCGCGTTGCGTTAGAGACGACAGGAACCACAGAGTCGGCGCTCTTAGTAATATAGGCGTTGAGTGCTGGGGCCAAGGAACTATTTGCATAAATGGAGAGGATCTCGTGGAACGTCTTCTGCGTAAATCCAGCCTGCAACAGGGCAGAGGAGTCGGTCTGGCTGATCAGGATACCCTGGCTCCGGGAGATGATCGACTGGGCCATCTGAATGGAGATGGGAGGAGACGCATGATTTACGGCGTTGGGAAGAGCTGTCGCCGATAGGGCAAAAAGACACCAGTGTGCGAGGGAAGTAGTCGACAGATACATGGTTGTTTGTGTCAAGAGTTCTAGCCCACGTAAAGATGCCGGGAACTTCTCCAAGTGCTTATGTACTGCTCGGCCTGTTTGTGATGGGCGGCAAGGATCGAGCTTACGACGCGAAAAATGCCGACAATAGGGTTTACACTAACATGGGTGATCGGCAATCCCGGCGTTACTTGCTAAGTTTCCGGGAACATACGTTGTAAAGGAGTTCTGAAGCTGCATCTACTTGCCATAATCTTCTATTAGCATTATCCGAGTCTATCGATCTAGGGCGTCCTGTCCAAGCCACGCCTTCAAAACTAGGGTATCAAGTACCGTGTCTGTATCCAAAATGCTTTTTCAACCCATCCCAACAATCAAACCGTAAAAATGATGTCCTTGGCCAAGTCACTCCTCCATTCCAGCGGTATTGGTGTCCTCCTCAGAGGCACTGCTTGTATGCGTCTGATGCATGGAACATCCTTCTAGTTGCGCTTCTTGCCGATCTTCTCAACGAGCTTCGCCGCGTCGTTGACAGCCGCAAACGCGCTCCAAGTGGCCATGACACTCTGGTACATGAGGTATCCTGGGATCACGATCCAGAAAGCGTTCATCAGGACAAAGTATCCCCAGTAGTAGAACTGCTCAGGACGCGAGTACGACAGGTTGAGGATGTAGTGGTCGAAAAGCGAGGTAGCATAGTACAGTACGTCGCCGTAGAACTGGCCGAGCGAGACGATGAGTTGGGCCGAGTAGCGGAGCGGGTGGTCGATGGCGATGAGGTAGGCGCAGAGGAAGGAACCGGGGCCCCAGAATACCTGTGAGAATGTTGATTAGTTGCTGTCCTTCTTCGAGAGAAGCCCAAACAAGACGTATACGTACAGCGGTGACGGTCTCCATGCACAAAACGAAGGCGTCCTGGGTCAGGTAACGCGAGTCGCTGAGCGCGTACTCCTTCCACAGCTGGCCAAAGAGGTCGTTCAGTCCGCCCATATTCCTAAAGTTGTAGGCGAAGTAGCCCTCGAAGAACGAGTGGATGCAGCCGCACAGCACAAACCACATGATGGTGGAGAGGTCGCCGGTGCTGGCATTGGGGCGCAGGCGCTTGACCATCACGTACGTGACACTGAAGATGGCGACGCAGCCGGCAGCGAACATGAGCAGCAGGTCCAGCGTGCCCAGCTCGTTGGCCAGATAGCCCACAATCTCCTTCTCAATGGGGTAGTAAGGGTGCTGGCCCGGGGGCAGCGAGAAGTTGCCGGCTGCCATAGCGAAGGATGCGAATATCGAATTAGACAAAAAAATGTAATGCAAGTGGTGCAGAGGTAGAGAAGGGAAAGGAGTACAAGAGCGAGTGCGGTGTCTATGGGCGGGCTACTAGCAATGGGGGCACGGCGTGCGTCGTGGTGCCAGATGGCAGGCCGAGTGGGAAAATATTCCGGGGCAGGAGACGCCATCCAATTGGGACAGCGCTTGCGGCGCGCCCTGGCTGTCAGCGGCAGGGATAAGAAGCGCGACCGCGACTCCCCGTCGTGTCAGATGTCAGCAACTAGAGTCAGGCCGAACACGTAGACATGTGACCATTCTGAAGTGCTCCGTCGGCTGTACCGATGCCTTCGTAGTCGTTGTTTGAGGCTGTTCGTGGCTCTTCGAGACGGAGCCCTTATCGCATTCTCCCGGTACGCCAGGTACGGTACGCTCATTTCCCTAGCGCAAAGAGGCGTCCTGCCGTCTCGGATAGGCACTCCAGCCTGCACCTTGTGCGCTCGAGCTCTCGTCTCTGAATAACAAGACTTTTCAACACAGAGGCTGTCCGTTGCGATAAGTCGTGCTGAAGCCGGAAGTGGCGCGAAAGAGCAGCAAAGATGGACATGTCTAAGCGCACGTATGCCCCAAGGTGCGTAAGGCGAGTAATGAGTAGGAGGTTCGGTAGAACGTACAGCGACAGGCGTTGCTTTAGCCTAGCTTTATCTGCTCGCGCATCCACGGCGCTGCGAAAGCGAGTTGACCACCTGGGCAGCCCTGGAGGTGTCGACGTCCCCAGGCCCCTACCCCTCAAGCTAGTCCCAATCTAGTATACCTCGGCTCCTACTCGGGCGTCTTCTAAGTCCGCGATATCACAGCGTCACTCCTCAACTGTCGCATACATCACAATGTCGCAAGGAGGCTCATCTTCAGACAAAGATTGGCGGTCCGTATCGAGGCGGAAGAAAGCAGAACAGAACGAGCGCATACCAAAAGAATGGAAGTTGAATGTCTTACCAGGAGCCGACGTAAAGAGCTACATCGATATAACACGCAAGTCAGGGCTATTCACAGAAGAGGAGCTGGAGATCACCGGACGATATGATGCTGTGGCACTGGCCGAAGCAATCAGAGGGAAGAAACTCAAATGCGTCGATGTGACACGGGCTTTCTGTAAAGTAAGCCGTCCCAAATTGGAGCAGACCTCTTGGTAGCGGCTGATGAACTAACAGTATGGCAGAGAGCAGCAATTGCCCACCAAGTCACCAATTGCCTCACAGAAATCTTCTTTGATGACGCGCTGAAGAGAGCCCAGGAGCTTGACGCCCATCTGGCATCAGGAAAAGCACCCCTTGGGCCACTCCACGGCGTTCCCATCTCACTGAAAGACACCTTCAGGGTCCGAGGTCATGATGCATCGATCGGCCTTGCAGCTCTCTGCTTCAAACCGGCACAAGAGAACTCGATCCTAGTCGATTGCTTACTCAACGCCGGTGCAGTTCTCTATTGCAAGACCAACGTACCTCAAACGCTCATGGCACTCGACTCCCACAACAACGTCTTCGGGCGAACTATTAATCCGCTCAACACTGCTGTGACCGCTGGTGGAAGCTCAGGTGGAGAGGGCGCTCTCATCGCGATGCGCGGCTCAATCTTGGGTGTAGGCACAGATGTGGGCGGCAGCATCAGGATCCCGGCCATGTGCGATGGTATGTTCGGTATTAAGCCCAGCTGGGAACGTATTCCCTATGCGGGTCAAGAGGGCGGCATGCTTCCCGGAGCAACAAAAGTTGGTATCCCGGCGAGTGCAGGGCCGCTCGCACACACCATGCGCGACATCGAACTCTTCTTCAGCGCAGTCGCATCCCAGCAGCCGTGGAATATGGATCCAGATGTCATACCATCGCCATGGAATTCTCTGTCAACTACGCGAAAGAAGCTACGGATCGGCATCGTCCGGCGAGATGGAGTCATTGAACCACATCCACCAATCTCCAGCGTCTTAGATGAAGTCAAAGCTAAACTGCAAAAGTCTGGTATCGAGGCAGTTGAGATGGACATCACCCCTCTTTTCTCTCAGTGCCAATCCCTCGCCAATGCGCTTTTTGGTGTTGAAGGTGGCAACGCCATGTTTGACTTGCTGGAATCGTTCAACGAGCCACTCTCGCCATGGCTGTCCACTCGACTCAAGCGCAAGAAGCCAATGGACCTTCCCAAAGTCCAGCAGTTCCATGGCAAGCGCGAGAAGCTGCGAAAGGAGTTCTTGAGCATCTGGAAAGACGCGCATGGCGAGATCGATGCCTTCGTCTGTCCGGTCGCGCCACATCCCGTGCCGCCCATTGACCGGTACAACGGCGTCAGCTACACGAGTTCGTTTGTACTGTTAGATTACCCGGCCGGTACTGTACCAGTAAGGTCGTTTGAAGAGGCGGATATGAAGGGCGAGATGGCGAGCACGGAGCCATTGGGAAGTTGGGACAAAGCAAATAGTGAGCTTTGTAAGTATTACTATTTTCCTCGACTCGCTGGAGGCACCGAAGCGCTCATATACTAACACGAACTCCAGGGACCAACGTTGACCGTTCGATCTATCTCGGTACGCCGCTGTGTGTGCAAGTCGTCGCGCCCAGATTACAAGAAGAGAAGCTGGTGCAGGCCATGTGTGCCATCGACGACGCTTTGAAGGGCTCAAACACTCTCAGCGCGAAGCTGTAGACCAAGGGTCAAAATGCCTGTACGGTGCACTGTCCACCATATATCCCTCCGTACCTCCATCCTTTGAGTCGTTCTCATCAGCTGGCGGCAGCTCAAGTCCCGTCTTCTTTCTCACCATCTCGTCCCAGTCGCCTCGTACAAAGTGACCAAATGCTTCCATGTTCCTTCCTAACTTTTTCTCAGAGATGCGTTCGAGCGTGTTGGTGTATGAGAGTACCCTGAAATGGCAGGTGTCGCAGGTAAACGTCGCTGTGCGAAAGGCCACGGTGAAGTATTTGACGTGAGTCAATATCCACTCGTTCAGTAACATCTCCAGAGCGCAGCGTGCTATGTCTTCGACTGGTGGGAGCTCGTCGTCTTCATCGGGCTCGGCCAGCGGACATGATAGGTGGAGATACTGGAGGAGTAGTAGGTCTCGTAGAACACCAAGATCCGATATCTCTTGACGGAACTGGTCAGGAGTAATGTCCTCGGTCAAGGCGGGGAATGGGATACCAAGGCTGGCGAGGTTGGTACATTGGGTAGCGATGAAAGCGAGATCCTTTGTGTGAAGTCGAAGGCTTGGGTCTGCTCCGAGATGTAGAGATGTCAATGAATGACCAATACTGGGGAGGATGGAGGCCAGGGGAAAGTGGCAGTACTCGGGTTGGTCGATCTTGCTAATGCTGCTTTCCCAGAAGCTTGGTGTGGTGGTGCCCTCGATGATCGGTCTGGCCTTGTCGTAGATCAGGCACAGGGTCTGCAAATTGTTGCAAGACTCTATGATGGTACACAGTGCCGTCTCTTCCTCCTGCTCGATCTCGCGTCCCGACTCTTTAAAGATGAGAGATGTAAGGTCGACTAATGCGCTATGGCATTGATTCAAGAAGCTGCTGACCCCTGCGCAGTCGCGGATCTGGAGTGACGTCATAGCTTTGGCGAGGAAGTGTTTCTTGACGTCGATTTGCGCAAGATCGACATGTGTGCCGCTGAGCTCCTCGAGACATTTCAGTCTGGTTCGCCAGCCAATACCCCTGATGATGTGGATCAACGGCACTGGGTCTCCATCGCGGCCATTATCGATGACAATCGAAAGAATCTTGTTGCCTTTGCATTCTTTCAACAACCTCCTGCAATAATGAGCAGGGGCGTCGCGGTTGACCAGGATTTCCACCTCTTTGCCATTTTCTTTTCGCATCCTGAACAGCATTATCGGACTTCCGGTTGTCTCGATAAGCTTTGGTATTCGGACCAATGGATTAAACTCACTCGAGTCCTTGGAGTCGCCTGCGGCTGCCTCATTGTGGAGTTCAATGTCCTCCAACTCCTCATCGTTTTTGGGATGAAAGAAATCCCATTTCTGGAGAAGATGGGGCAATGATCCCCAAAAGAGATTCCCACGCGACTTCTCACCATCGTACCATGTTGGTATACATATGGTATCGAGATTAGGAAGATACCGCTGCAGAAGCCTTAGACAGAGGGCTTCAGTCTGCGCAGTGACACGGCTCTCATTGGTGAAAGCGAGTGTGCGAAGCTCCGGTTTCGTCCCAGGAGTATCCAGTAGAGTGTTGAGGTTCTTCATTATTCTCAACGACCTTCGGCCTGCTTCAGGCGTAACGTGCACAAGTAGATCCTGGAACTTCGCGAGGCTTCCAGCTGACAAGCCTTCGAAACGATACGCTGTGGCAGAATCGATGCGTAAGTATGGCTTTTTATAGAGATATCCCTCAAAAAGGGCAACCTCGTCATCCCATCTATTGCGGAGGGCCACGCGAAGCCGACGGGAGATGGCGTATTGGGGCAACTATAGCAGCATACGTTAGCACATCATTACACAGAAAGAGTAGCAATGCCGTATCCTGATACACTTCAAGGATTATGACCTGCTCACAAGATCGCCGGCAAGATCGATGTAGTCGTCCAGGTGTATTGAGGCACGGCGATGGGAGACATGTATTACTTACGTAGTCGCAAACCATGCGTCGCAACTCCGGAGGGAGCGACTCCCAGAAGTACTTCTCCGCCTCGCTCATATCAGGTTGTGTAGTGGTTGCCATGCTGAGTGATTGTATGCTGCAATCGATACTGTGGTATAGTAGTAAAGAGGTAGAGATTGGGGTGTGAATTGAATCGATCAGCTCCAGCTTCAAGAAGTCGACCGCCAAGGCCGACTTGCAAGCCAGAAACTCGTAGTGAGCGTGCATAATTGCGTCTTTGGTGAAAGTGAAAGTAAGAAGCTGCAACGTTGACAGCGCAAGTGGGAGAAGAGACGCGATCGGCCGCGCCATTCCACGGTGAATTGCCTATTTTGTCAAGTGACTCAGAAATTCTCTATCTCTCGACCTCAAACAGGCTTCTACTCTAGTCAAGTCACTAAGACTTCAGTCACTCTCAGTGAAGGGCAGGGCTGGGTAACTACGCACGGACTGACCGCCAGCTAGCGTTGCGCTGGCTCTATATAAATCCGCCCTCCCCTCCTTCTCTCCCTTTCTCAACACCGAGATTTCGCAGCTCACTCAACTCAACTACAACAAGGCCTCTTTACACACCGCTTTCATGCGTCATTCGACTGAACGAACCTTGTATGGCCTTCGGGCTAATCCTTGTGGTATCCGTTGCTGGTTTCCTGATATGTTCAGCACTGTCATTTTTTCCAGACATTACCCTGAGCGCGAGGCGGCTTTACACTTCAGTGTTCCGCACTCTAGCAAGCTCAGTACATTTGGTCCTGAGGAGCCTATATCAGCACTTGCCGGGGGTGTTGATGAATTCATTACCTGGTCGGCGCGCATACAGAAGATAGGCTTGGATGCTGGTAGTGAGGAGATTAGTCTGAGCTGGCATTGGCAAGTCTGGGAAGTGTTCTTTTTCGTTGAGTTTTGCAGCTTGCTGCTGGCTTGAAGAAGGAGCGCAAATTTGAAGCTCGACCCTTTCATGTGACAGGTCAGAGGCCTTGGGAGGCTTGGTGTCTCTTATGGGCTAATCGCGAAATCAATTCACGCGTTGCGTTTCCAGTCTCTGCGGAGTTTGCTTCCAATCTGTTGCAAGAAAGATGGCAAGTGAAGTGAAAGCTGAGCATATGACGCAATTACCTTATCTGGAGCAATCCTTTATCTCATGATTGGCCACCTACCACATATTCCCCTTCGGTCGCGACTGCCAGATGACTAGACATACAACCAACCACCAGCATGTCGTCTACACAACCCTTGCTTGCGCATGCGCTCGTTACTCCTCTAAGTACGACCAACAGCTCCGCCGTCCCGGTCGGTGCCCTCGCAGTAATCGAATGGTGCATATTTGATGGCTATACACACAAAGACGTTGTGAGCATGTACAACGGCGCTGGCTATGGCAGCGTCAGCACCAAATACGGTATATCGTATCAGGTGAGGAGGTGGGGCCCAGTGTGGTATCAAGAGCAAGGCGCTGTTAGACCATGGGAGCTCTACACGAAGATTGAGAAGGCAGAGTTCAAAGAAAGAGGACTGAGCGGTGGAGACTTCAAGTTTGTGCATCCACGGGAGCTGGATGTAGTGAATGGAGTTGTACACGTGCGAGGACAGCCGCGAGGACAAAAAGAAAAGCGACAGGAAGCAGCAAGACGGAGGTCTCAGGGTACGGTTGCGAAGAATCCGGGTGCGTCTTCTACACGGTCATCGGCAACTTGACTTAGAGAAACAACATACTGATCTTTCGCCGTGTAGTCAATACCGCCCAAAGCCGCAACGCCTCTCGAATATCTTCAGCACCTCGCGCATCCAGTTCCAGCTCCCGCCCCCTTCGCACTCCCAATCAAGTACAACCCGGTCATTCACCCAATTCAACTCCGCCACCGGCTATACCTGAGCACCTCCGGATCGCGATCAAGGCCAAGCACGACGAGTGGCTGAGGGCGAATGAAAGGGGAGAGACAGAAATGGCGGATCTAGTTGAACAAAAGTTGGAAAGCCTCGAGCGACAAGCAATGAAGGTCAGCCTGCCGGGGTTCTTGGCGTGGAAGTTCGGACCAGAGCATATCGGCGCCGCGGTGAGCGGATGAGGCAGAAGGGCGAGGGATCGTCTTAGGCCAGATTCCCTTATCGCCTTGTTGTCACGTAGCCAGTTGAAGCCTCCTACTTTCACTTCCTTTTTTTCCGATCACAATCAGATCGCACACGCCGTTGTTGACTGACGCCTCTTGTTATGAGCCCATGCACTCACGAGACTGACTGAAAATGATTTTCACCGGGTGGGCTCCGCTCGTGCCTCTTACAAAGTCCGCGAGCCTAATCCTTCCGCTGCGCTTTTGCCCAATCTACTTATACTCCTGCCTCAACCTACTATTTACTACCAGCAACACTCCGGTGTAGGTGACGACAGAAGAGCTCCACAACATCCAAGCATCGCAGAAGACACACGACAGCAAGCCGCTACATCAATTCAACCGAAAGAGTCTGCAAGTGTGATCATGTCATCCACAGATAACCCTACAGAAGAGGTTGACGCCTCAGCGCGGATGTCAACCACAGCACGGAAGCGTCGGTTGAATGAGCCATATGTCGCCGCGGACGTCCCACTGCTACCTACAAATACCGCTTCCAACACGGATGAGCCCAGCGGGCCTAATGACAACAAGGACGCGAACTGTCCGTCCAAGAAAAAGCGCAAAACGAAGTCGAACTCACTGGGTGCGCACGCCAAAGTTGCTGCGAAAGAAATACCTAGCGATGAAGAGATCAAAGCCTTCATAGAGGGCCTGGCAGCTATCGAAGACTGGACTTCTCAGGTAGTTGACACTAAGTATATACAACTGGTGCAATGGTACGACGTCGAAGGCATCTCGATGAAACAGTGCGGCACCAAATGGGTAGAAGAAGGATATGCAGAAGGACGCGCAGACCCGAAAAAGCAGAAGACTGAGGTTACTGAATCAGGGATGTGGAAGCACTACGGCAGCCACGGGAGAAAGTTCCTCGAGGAGAAAGGTCTCGTGTGGGTATCTCCATCGGCGCGGAAGGCTTACAAGAAAAGAGTTAGCGACGTCGACCAGTCCAGAAAGACAATCCCAGACAAGACAGTTCCACACAAGACGATTTCACCCAAGACAGTCTCAGATCGGACGGAGCGCATACCATCACCTGGTATAGAAGAGGGAGAGCCGCTGACGATTGCTAGCCATACCAACGTGCTTGAGAGCAGTGAACACATGGCCGACGAACCAGTGCCCAGTATTCAGCGATACACCACACCGCAGCCGCAAGAGGAGGCCGCACGAGATCTTACGGAGGCTGCGATGCCTAAGCCAGAAGACTATCGTGTAGGCTTGCATCGTGGAGAGGATCAGGAGTTGATGTTCCTTCTCTCGAGGAAAGTGAAGGCAGAGTCGAGACCAAGCGACCTCATTTGTGACTTTGAGAAAAAAGGGAAGAGGTGAGTAAATCTATGCCAAACATGACTGCAGATGATAGAACTGACATCATGCGTCTTGACAGCCTTGCCGCCGCGAAATCAAGAGAGGTAACGAGCGATCCAGAGGCCGAGGCTGCAGAGGTCGTACGCTACAAGACCAGTCGAGCAACCGAAGATGTTCTGAGCTTTAAGCGGAAGACCGGTGACGTGCGCCGCGGACATCCCACTCGACCTGTTCTGAGCCGAAAGCAAGCCATCGAGCACTGCACCTTTATAAGGGACGCCATTCAAAACGATCCGACCGTCGATACGATCGAGTACGGAGAAGACATAGATGCCGATACTATCGCCCGCTTCGTCGCGTGCATCTCGCCCGACATCCGAGCGGCCCTGCCCACACACGATGTTGTCGGATTGGTCAACGCGGGTCACCCGGACACACGGACTACGGAGATCCAGTGGTCCATGCGAGAACTTGAAGACCTATACGTTTTCGCCCACACGATGGGCGCACTTGCGGTGTGCGACATGATCATCGATAGAGTATATGAGGAGCTGCACCGTACCCAGCAGCGCCTGATTCGCACCATCGATGGTACGATGGAGAAATTCGGATTCCGCCGCATGAGCCCAGCGTTCATGAATCTTCTATCGGAGAATGACACGCGAGCTTTCAATTTCTTTGTCTATGCTTTGGCCATGAAGGCCGAAGATACCCTGGAATTGCTGAGAATATCCAGGCTCGATAGTTGGTACCATGAATCTAAGCAGGCGTTGATGACAAAGCTGGAAATAATTTGGGCATCGGGAGCTAGCAAAAGCGAGTCGGCAGCGATATGTCCGACATACCATCACCATTGGAGCCCAGCGACAGAATGTTACAAGTCTGCAGTGTCCACGGCGCCCTTGATATCGAAATCCAACGCTGCAAAGCAATCGGCCGCCACGTCCCGTACGCTCCAGAAGCGACCTGAGCCCTACCAGCGCAAAGATCGCAAGGCCGAGGAAAAGAAGGAGGCCTGGGCCAAGAAGGTGGCATTCCAGAAGATCGATCGCGAGGCCAACGGAGCGCGTGGACATGGACCGGCGCAATTGAAAGCCGAGCAGGCCAGGCTTCAGAAGGTTCAGCAAGAGCTCCACGACGAAGACAAAGAGTACAACGATTCCTCCGACTCCTCACACTCGTCAGACGACGAAGACGTCAATGTGATCTTTGTGCAACTTCCTCGGGTATACAGCAGAGCTCGCGATCTCTTCCGAAACAGCCCTGGATCATATGCTGAACCATCCCAATACACTGTGATTGCGTCTGATCTGACGCATGCGAGATTCGCTGCCCGAAGCGGAGGTGGGCTGAACTATTCCGGCGAGGGTATGAATCTTTCCAAGGACACGGCGGAGATTCAGCGGAAGAAAGTAGCGATCGTGGAGGGTCAACTGCAGATGTTTCGCGACAGCGGTTACGACCCTGACAATCTGCAGGGCTCAGGCCAATTGCGCGCCATGTCTCAGAGGGCGAGTGAAGACGGGGAGATGATCGATGGAGACGAGAGCGACGACGAGGACTAGGATACTAGTTACGATGGAGAGGCGACGAGGGTGGTGAGCGCGAGCGCTATGATGCCTGGACTCGGTGTTTAGACTGGTAAGATTTCATATAACGAATACCTCGCACGCTAGAGCAGGAACTGCTGCGTGAGTCTTCAAGAGTTTGCTTGGTCGTGTACAGGGGAGAACGAAGGATACAATGCCTGCCGGGACAGGAGGACGATGGCTGGTCGAGCCTGGGTTGAGTTGTTGTGAGGGCGGTGGGCCATGTCCTGGTAGTTTACGCGCAATCGTGGTAGGGTAGAGAAATCGCGTTATGTTTGTCAAGCTGCCGAGGTCTCTTTGCTTGCGAGCGCATGTCTGTCCTTAGAGATGAAGGGTAAAGTTTCACCGCGCGCGGCAAAATCCTCGTATTCACTAATTATCGCTTATTAGCTTAATTTACGCACTAGTAGAGCTTAGGCTACTTACCTAGAAGAAGTAGTCTTTTAGATAATTGTAACTATTATAATAACTACTACCTATAACTATAGCTCTAGCTAAGTTAATTAAATTTGCGCGTAATAAGACTCTTTACTATTTATTCTATTTTTTTTACGTTTACTACTCTACTTCTATAGCTTAAAACTAGTTCTACGTTAACTACGCTAGCCTTATAAGTTATAAGGTTTTGTCTAAATAAGCTATATCTATACTAACTTTCTACTCTAAAGTCTACTCTCTAATTCTCTACCTCTTTACTTATACTACTATAATTTAGTAGTTAATAGGCTAGTAATAATTTATAAGTTCTCTTTTGCCTTTTCTCTAGTCTTTTATTTTAAAGCTTATTAATTCTAATTATATTTTTATTCTCTACTTTAGAGTTTAGTATAATATCTTTACTCTTAGCTATAACTTCTAAATCTATAAGCTTTCTCTTTTACTTTTTTAGTAGCTACCTTAAGTAGCGTAGAGTTAGCTTCTAATTTTTAGTTTATATACTATATTCTACTACCTACCTACTTACTTTTTACTTTAAACCTTATACTTTATAAGCTTTACTCTTTCTTCTCTAGCCTCTTTCTTGCTCTATGCTAACTACTTTACTTTTTAAACTTAGCTTTACTTCTAGTAGAACCTCTACTAGAATCTATAGCTATATTATAAACTACTTTACTATCTAACTAGCTACTACTCTAGCTATTAAGATTTTAAGCGCGTCTAGCTTAAGTAGTAATAGTACTAATACTACTATAGATAATCTTAGTAAAAACAATAATACTGCGCTTAAAACTAGTAAGAGCGTTCTAGATACTATTAAGACTAGTAATATTAAGATTACGTAAGAAGATAAAGAGACACTTAAGCATATTAATAGTAATAATAAAGATAACTACTTTATTTCTAAAGGCCTTATTAATCTAATAGATAACTATAGTAATAAGAGTAATACCTTATCTTTATTCTCTATCTTTTCTAAGATTATTCTATAAACTTTTTATAAAAGAGTAAAGAAGCGTAATAAGCTATATTAGTGTAAGAGAGAGTAGTATAAAATAAAGAGCTGCGCTAAAGTTAGACCTTTCTATACTCTATTTAAGAATTAATAGACTAAGCTATAACCTAAAAGAAAGAGTAAGAACGTATATTTCTAGACCTCTAATTTAAAATCTTGTTCTTTTCTAGTAACTACTAATATCTACTAGGTAAAATATAGTGTAGAGAATAAGGTTATATAAGCAGAGCTCTATTCTTCTATTCTTTTTCTTCTACTATTACTTTTCTTTTATTCTATTCTTTTAGCACGCTTAGCTCTACTTCTTCTTCTTTCTAATATCTCTCTAGCTCTCTGTTCTAAGATCTTAGTCTTTCTAGTATCTGCGTCTAGACTTTGCTAACTACACTACTACGTAGAATTATATTTTATAACTATAATAGAAAGACTCTATAATACCTATTCTATAAGAAAATAAGTAGTATACGTATAGCTTATTTCTTCTAGAGATCTTAGAAATTCTGCTACTTCTACTAATAATATTAGTCTATGCTTTCTAAGAAGAATGCTTCTAATAGTACTAAGCTATATATAGTCTACTCTTATAGCTATTTCTTTACTACTGCCTTTCTTAAAGCTATTTATGTAAAGTAAGAGCTCTACGTAGTATACTACTCTAAATACTAGTTATTCTCTAGCTTTGCTAATAGAATATCTAGAAAATAGCTAAACTCTACTACTATAATAATAAGCTAATTAAGCTAACCTAGTTCTTTAGTAAGCATGCGCTTATAATTCTTACTATATTTAAGATATACTTTAGCGAATTTATAGTTAAGAAGGTATGTTAGACCTTCTAGCAGTAAAACCTTAGAATATATAAAGAATATAGCTAATAGATTCTATTCTATAGGCGCTAAATATTAGTAACGTCTAGGCAAAGGCGCTGTAGAGCTAGATTAATACGCGCAACACTTTAGAAAGTTACCTTAGTACGTACTTTTGTCTTTTCTAATCTTTAGATAGAACTTCTACTAATTATTTCTAGCTTCTACTATTAATATTAACAACTACCTAATACTATAAGTAAATAAAAAGGTAGCGAAGGCGTTAAGAGTAAAGTTAGCTTAGGCCTCTAAGAAGCGCTCTGTAGAGCTAGATAGTAATAATACTAATATAGAGAAGATACTAGTAAAGAAAAAGAGTTATTCTGTAAAGACCTGCAAGACCTAGAAGTTAATAGAGGTTTAGACTAGTATATACGTTATGCTTATACGCTGTTATGCGCTTTCTAAAAGGTCTAGTTACTATTATATATATAACACTATAGTAGAAGGTTAAGTAATAAGGTATATATATTTAAGGTTAGAATACTAAGTTACATAAAATAGTTAATAGATTACTTTTCTATAACGTAATACACCTTAATTTCTATTAATTATAATCTTTCTTATATAATATTGCAAAATTTCTGCTCTTATATAGCTAACTTTATCTCTAGTCTTTTAATATAGGCTAGTTTTATATTACTACTAAAGGCTCTATACTACCTACACGCAATTTAGCTATTTTATACTTAGTAATTTTAATAGCATTAATTAGTTAGGTTAAAACTTTACCTCTTAAAAGCCTTTAATTTCTTAGTATATATAGAAAGTATAGAATAATTAGTATAATTACTAACTTTAGAAAAGAGTAAAGTTTCTTATAGAAAGAAACGCGCGTTTTGTAGAAAGAGTGTAAGTAACTAAGGTTTTATGCTAAAAAGCTTAGAAATACCTACGCTAAAGGCGTAAAAAATTTTTAGTAACTACGTGTAAATATAAAATAACTATATTAGTAGTATTATAGCTATTACTGCTCTAAAAGTTTAATTATTAGTTTTACTACTCTTTTAACTATATATTTTATAAATTGTAGAGGTTTTCTAGTAATTATAGTAATACTATAATTTTTTAAAGTAACTTTATGTTGTAAGTTAATTACAAAAAACTATACGCCTACTTATAATAATAGAAAGAGAATATAATAGCTAGTTATGCTGCGTGTTCTATAGTATAAGCTTGTATTTAATAAGCATTTTATCTATAACTTATATTATTATTCTTGCGTAAAGCACTAGCTATCTATATATCTTGTTTTTTTACACTACTTTAATACTTTAAAGTATAAAAACAATAGTACACGTAATTAATAGAGTTATTTCTCTAGATACTTATTATTTCTATTACTATTGCTAAAGTCTAGCTAGTTGTAGATACTGCGCTATTTTGTAGTAATATCTATGTCTCTAGTTATTAGTACTCTTTTGTTTCTATTCTCTCTATATAAGAATATATCTATAAACCTATCTTCTAGTAAAGTGTATACCTCTACTACTACTAATTTATTAATCTATTGTTGTTCTTTATAAGCTTTCTCTACAATCTTCTTCTAAAGTAACTACTTCTAAGTCTCTATCTTTTTGCTACGCTTAACTATTCTATAGTATTCTAGCTAGAAGCTATTAGAAGAATAATACGTCTTCTATATAATAACTATAGTCTTTTTATATATTAGCGTAATTATATTAGTTTCTCTAGAAGTTATATACGTTTTGCTCGCTCTAGTGCTTTAAGTATATTACCTAGAAGTTAGAATCTTCTTTAGTAGAGCTCTTGTAAATCTAAGGCTAATAGCTAATTAGAATGTTTATTCTATTAATCTATAGTAGTAAAGCTAAGCTAAAGTTCTAGTTATATATAAGAGTTTTAATATTATTACTATAAATCTTCTATTCTCTTAGATATAGCACTATACTAGGCACTACTATAATACGCTAACTACTTACTATAATAGCGCAGCGCTTAGAGCTGTTATAAGAGCGCTTTAAAGGTGTTTAGAGTTTTAGTATTACGCTCTAAGCACTTATAGTAATACACTTAGTATTACTAATATATTACTAGTTATTTAGCGCAAGATCTATTAGTAGTAAGTCTACTCTAGCTTTTTAGTGTAACTAGTAGCAGAAAGCTGCAAAGAGCGTAATATACTAGTATAGTTCTATATAGAAAGTAAGTAGCTGCTAAGATAGGTCTACTCTTTGTAGTAGTAGTATTAACCTCTTATTATTATTAAGTTTAGGTATAATACTCTTATAAATACTAGAATATTTATCTATTAACTTCTTACTACTAGCTTACTAAAATTATCTTAATAAATTTGCATAATATAAATATATATAGAGAGAATTAGTAGTTGTAAGCTCTTCTAGTGTATAGTAGTGCACATTCTATCTAGCTAGGCGCCTTATATAAATATTAGTATTATAATATAATTCTAGTGTTTTTATAGAGAGCTTCTATATATAAACGCGTAGATTATAAGGTCTTGTCTTATAAGGTAGCTATAGGCTATAAATTCTACTATAGCTCTATACATCTCTCTTACATTAGTACTAATATTAGTATTTTCTATATTTTAGGCTGTATCTATTAGTAGCGCTACTGCTATATAAGGTAGTAGTTACTATTTTCTGTAGGCTTATTATCTACTAGCTATAGTT